TGTATGTTAAAAGACCTTTGTTTGCCTTAATTGACGAATCGTAAAGTTTTGAAGTGTGTATAACGTAGACAGAGAAACCTATAGTCAAATGGACGCCTTCTTTCGCATTCGCACACGAAAAAGATAGATTTATGCATACGTCTTGCATAGAAATGAGATAGAGCGGTGTGATTGTTTGTCCCTTTCTCCGTGCCGGTTTTTTTGTTTAGCAAAGTCTACAGTTTGCTAAACAACTTTAACAGCGTAGCGATTTAAGGAGTTTACTACAAGTTGGTTTAAGTGAGAAAAAAGTGTTTTATGAGCTTAAGATTGGTGAATCTTGTTCAGTTCAGTTCTTAGAACAATTAAAATTTTTATCTAAATGTGTTTAAAAGTCATAAAGATTATTGTATAACCTAAAAATTCGTTATCGTTCTTTCTCACTCGAGGCCACGCTGATCATTAGTCTATAGGTTTCTCTGTCTACGGTGTATAATTATTTTTTCTATAGCTCCTAGATAATACATAGATAATACATAAGATAATACATAGTAAATTATTTTATTGATATCTGTAATGATGACTTAAGTAAACGCTTAATAATTATCATTTCGCCATTGTCTTTTGTGTGGGCAAAAAAAAACTCATATACAAGGACGCGCTGAAAAAACCACCACATAATTTCAATCTCCTGCCATTCGAGAGCTTACTGTGCGTAATTTTGTGATTTTGTGCTTGTCTTCTTTTTGGACTGTTTCTTCTATATTAGTTAAAGCATGTGCCCATGTCAAAAACGATGATTGTGCAAAAGTGGTAGAAAAAACAAAAAAAAAAAAAGATTATGGATGACTTTGAGAGACATTAATTTTGACTGCAATATTGAAAATCAAATAGTAATCAATCTAAACAACGACAGCTCAAGTAGTTGTACGGAAAGTGATTGTATAACTTTATTTTTAATCTAGTTTCAATCTAAATTTTTTATAATTGTGTCTCTAGAAATAAGCAGTAACAACAAATACAAAGAAACTGATAAATCTTGTGTTTTAAATTATCCGTTTTATATTTATTCTGGTATTATTCAAATCAAACTATAAATGATTACTAACTCTAAATAATAGATATCGATTTTTTTTAAATTGAATAATGTATGTTCCCAATTTTGGGTTGGCTAGCTTGGTGCAATAAGTCTGACAGCTGTCAAAATGTATTTCTTAGATTTGGTCGACTATAAGGATTTTGATTTGATACTTTAAAAAACCATTTTACACCAACCATCTTACAACAAAAACGTAGTCAAATAATGTAGAATTTAGTACTATTGTTGTATAATTTAAAACATATAGTAATAAGGCCATTATAAAATCTAATTAAATTCAGCTGTTACAAACACATTAATTTTGACAGTTTTATTTTCCGCTAAGCATGTATGAACGATCATCACTTGATAAGGGCTGGACCGATTTCGATGAATACTCACACTCACAATTTTACCTGGTAAGTAGGGTTGTTGTCGAAATCTTGAAAACAATCGTGCAAAACCGGGGCGGATCGTTAGTCAGCATATAAAATTGGGGTTACAAATACTGCATGTCTGAAAAGAAATCTTAGTATTATTACCTCACTAACTATTGGTTTTTAAAGTTTGCGAAACGAATATTGGCAATGTAATATAATATCAACATCACTTGATTTAGAAAACGATTTACTTGATCGTTCTAATAATAATCAGTCTACTCCTATTATATATATATATATATATATATATATATATATATATATATATATATATATATATATATATATACCTAGTCCTATTATATACATATAATAGACGAGTAAAAATAAATATTTAAACAAAAACGAGTACATCGATATCGATTGTTGCTATCATTGGGAACGAAATCACTATAGATTAAGGATGTGATATCTTTATGTAGGTTAGAGAAGAGAAGAACAATTGCTGCAGAAAATAGTGTCCTAGAAATAAGGACAAAATAAGTGATGCACTGCGATCGCTAAATTGTCTCAATAAAAGCGGGCTGTTGTGCGCTAGTTTGAAATGATAAAAATATCAAAGAAAAATAAAGAAAATAATGAAACTATTATTATTACTTATTAATAAATAAATTATAAAATATGTTTTTTATAATTTTAATTAATATAAACATTATAAATTATTACAAATATAAATTATTAATTATAATTGATTCGTTAATGGTTTTTTTTTTGTAATATTTCACCATTTTATAGTTTCTTTTTGTCAATAATTAACAAATTACTTCGCAGGTACTTGGTACTTACCAACGGCAGCGCTGTTATAAGTTCTACAAATTTTCAAGGACAGGCGGGCTATGCTTTAGCACGTAGCGATCGTTCTTCTGTCCTCTAACCTCCATGGATATCATGTAAAGTGACGTGACACAGAATACTACTACAATAGAGATTTCATTTTTGTAGTTAATTAGAAGACATTTTTTATATAGGATAGGGTGACAAACGAGCACACATTCCACCTGATGGTAAGTGGTTGCTGTGGCCCATAGACATCTACATCTATCCTTGATTACGAATCAAAATGCAGATGCTTTGTCACCCGTGAGCACTAAAATGGAATGCCTCGTTTCTAGTAAAAAGGGTCTCTGGTTTTGTGGAGTGTAGAGGTAAGGAGTACAGACTCAAGTGTCCGTAGTAAAGCGCTAAATAAGGGTGGCGCCACTGTCACAGTCTAAATTTTAAAGAACTTCTCTTTTTGTTGTGATCTTTTGTGACCATACTAAAAATCTTTTAAGCCCAAGTCAGTGTACTTATTTAAAACATAAAAGGTTTTTAATATTGATATGGTCACTATAAGATGTTGTAATATTAGCTAATTACGTAATAACTTAAGACAGAAGGATCCTTAAGTAGGGACTGAATAAATTAACCGACTTGGTATTACATAGATCTGTCAGCTTTTCTCCAATAAAACCACGGCAACTCACTTAGAGCACTATGTTCATTGTTTAATTTAGCTCTTAAGTTGTATATAATACTTTATAACACACTATACTTTACTTTCACAAAGAAGACTATATATTAATTTAACCTTACTCACAACCTTTAGCTTACCTTATTTCACAATAGACTTGACTATTATAACCTTCTCAGCACCACTGTTCGTAATCAACTGCCGCGATCGTCAAGTGTACGCGCTTTTATATTTTGACTCAATTCTAGAATTAATGTAGGTACCTAGTTTGAAATAGATTCATATTAATATTAATTGTGAAGATTGCTAAGTAATATTGCATAATTATTATTTATCTAACAGATCTCACAACTTTTTTCGATGGAAGAACTGAGTTGCGAGACTTGTTTTTTTTACAATTTATGTTTTTGATGGCATTATAATTTTTTATTGCACAGACTTTCACCATAATTCTTTTTACAATAATTATTTTATTGCTTTCAAAATTTTTATTTTCAAAATCACTCTCGACGTATTTTACGGCGATTTATCATACCCAGCTACTCGAGCGCTGTTGTGGAGAGCTTTGAACTGATATTTATGCTTACAGATGGACACATTTTCAACAATTCTCCTATGGGAGATTGTCCTCCTTACCTCTATACTCCATGTTAGGTTCTCTACCATACAAAACACAGCAGCATTAAGTTTCTATTTTACGCTGGTATTCTGTAAGAGCATGGTCCTTCCCCGGTCGAGCCGATCCATTCGTTCTACAACTATACCACTACTCTACTATGTATAATAAGATACAAGTGCATTTACTCTCTTATATTTGGCATAGTGTAAAGAGACCAAAGATGACCACTTGAAATTTCTATTTACACGCGTGAATAAACGTAACATCTTTCAATCTTTCAATAGATTTGTCTCTTTTTAACCTTATTTGAAATGTAAGTTAGAAAAAGCGAGACAAGTATATTGACCTAATTTATGTAGATTTATAGGTACTCTCTATGCATACATATGCACTTATGTAATTACTCTAAAATAAATGACACCTTTATTTTCAAGACCTATAAAAATCTAAAGAGGAAATTCATCCGTGCTCACCACATACTAATAAATATGTAGTAAGCTAGTGGTGAGCATGGACGGTGCTGAGCACTTATATGACTTATATCTCTCTCTTATTAGTTTGTGACTTATTACAAATCAAGAGATTTCCCTAAAAACACAGAGAAATTTTAATACGAAAACGCACAATTTACAATTGAAAATCATAATATTAATTACATATACAAGTACTTATTACTTTTATCTATTTATTCAATATAATATTGATGTGTATCTTATTTCGAGTTTAAAAAACCTTGTTGAAATATAATCAAAGATTTTATAGCTTTTTTGTTTAAGGATTAAGTACATCGAATTAAACTGCCAATCCAGAAGCTAAAGCTAAAGCTAATGCTTTGCTTTCTTTTCCGAGGCCGGCTCTAACTCTAATTTTTGTCTTATTTCAAAACATCCAAAGCGTAGTAGTTATATACATATGTAACGTAAATAACGCACACCCTCAGACACCCCAATTAGTATATTATGTTATAATCATAATACATATTATACATACACTGAATTTTTAGTTAAACATTTTTATGCACTGATTATTTACAAATTAGTTATACTAATTCCGAAAGAATGTTGTGGTCATAGTACAAATCCACGAACGCAAAGACTTTAACGTGCTTGAAATAAAGTTATTTTTTTTATTTTTATTGAATGACAGAATTAGTTATAATACAAATAAAACTGCACTCCTAAAAGTCTTATTGCCTTAAGTTACGGTCCATTTCAGTTTGTTTTGACTGTACAGATTTAGTGTGACTGTAATATACGTAGTTTAAATTAATTATTTTTGGGATAAAAAATTATCTATATTAAAAATGATAGGAATCGATTCAGTAAACGATGCTGAACAAACTACTTTCTCAAAGTGCGTTAATTATGTTACGTGTTGTATACCGACTCTGGTTTCGTCGGAAAGGATTATGTTTATCAATGTGTGAACTCAATGTTCAAGGGTGCATTGTATTTACACATGGGTCAACATGAAATTGTCAAAAAACATCCTGTTAGGAGATTTACGAGAGTTACCATTTACGAGATAGAACAAATTGAGGCAGACTTTGTAGAGTTAGGTACTGAAAAATTTGTACAACTTATAGGAAAACAGATACACCAAGTTGAAGGTGGTGCCACCATTTACGAGATAGAACAAATTGAGCCAGAATTTGTAGAGTTAGGTTCTGAAAAATTAGTACAACTTATAGGAAAACAGATACACCAAGTTGAAGGTGGTGCCACCATTTACGAGATAGAACAAATTGAGCCAGAATTTGTAGAGTTAGGTTCTGAAAAATTTGTACAACTTATAGGAAAACAGATACACCAAGTAAAAGGTGATGTCCATTCAAATGTATCGACTAATGCACTATCGGTTTCTCGGAAGTATGTGTGTGTTGGCGTATGTATAAACTATCCTAGTATTTCCACAAGTAGGTAAAGTTACCGCGACATTGTGCAAGTAATTATCATTTTTATCCCGTTTAACAAATAACAATTGTAAATTTATCGTTATTTTAAGTGATGTCTCAATCCAATAGAGATAGATACCGAAACTTCGTATTATTTGTAATCGCCATTGTCCAAAATAAATTAAAAAGGCATTAGTAGAAGAATGTTAAAAAAAATTGCTAAAAACAACTTGTCAGAAGTGGGATTCGAACCCACGCCCACAGAAGTGGACTGCGACCTGAACGCAGCGCCTTAGACCGCTCGGCCATCCTGACTTAATATTCAGTGTCAAAATGTTAAATTAAACTCTATATTACACTCTCATTCAACAACCGCAGATATTCGCATGTTATTATATCCGCAGTAGGAGGCATAGTGTCTTTTTATAACCAATAGAAGCAGAGCTATGTTACGTTGCCACAAAGAGTCGAGTGTATTGAACTTTTGCCATCGATGGCTCCGAATAGTTTTAACGAGTCCAATTCATATATACTATGTTCGGGGTTTCAGTTGTAATCTTCGTGCTAAGCATACTTCCGCAAATTAAAATTTTAAACAATCAAATAAAAAAATAAACAAAGTTTAGTAAAAATTAAAAAACAAAATAATTATAATAGTTTTTTCATTTTTATAGGAGTAGAATAACAAAGTCGTATTATATTTGCTTTTATTTTATATTTAACTTAAATTCTATTTGCACTAATTTTGAACAATTTCACATTTTGTCTTAAAAATATTTAACTTATTCTTACAACATTTTACTATTCAACAATAGATGGCGGTTTCATATTTACTTTAGATTTATTTATAATAAGAGATGGCGCTCCTTTAAGTCTTGTAGTTGCATAAATACGCCGAAAGATTCCGTTACTTGGTAACTGCAGTAGCGGATCGTAGCGTAACGTAGTAAAAAGTGAAAGTGCAATGCGGGTACCGGGTAATCGAAAACGGGCACGTCGACCGCGACCGTACGGTTGTTGACCGTCAAAACTATTTGCGGGTGACGTAATTGTTATAATATCACCACGCGCGATGCGAGAGTTTTTGTCTATATTTAAATCGATCATAATAGATATAGAACGAGAATGTTTCTGTACTTTAGGATAATCTGTAATTTAGGACTCGCCCTCGATCGCTATATTTATTGATTAAAAAAGAAAATTAATTGATTATCTGGTATCAATTAATTTTATTTTTTTATTTTGAGTAGATATTTAAAAAAAAAAGAAATTTATTGTTACAATGACAACTAAGTATTGTGTATCGTCTTTTATGAAATTTGTCTTGCGAATTCGCGCAATTTATGATAAAAGTACAATGGCAAAATTAAGTTTTCGCAACAGATCCGAACCACAACATTGACAGAATTATAAACGCTCTCTTCTCGCTTTTTTAAACAAAAACATTCCGCAGCAGTTGATATGGGAATTATAGTTATATTTCTAAGTACAAAATGATAGTCGGTACCATGATTACATTACTTATATTATGTCTCCTTACTTTATGACGGGTGCTTGGGATGGGTTTGTAAGTATTAGACTTCTAAAAAGTTTTTAAATGAATACGAAGACTGTTGAAGGACAAACGCAATGGTAGGGTACTTCGAACATCGATCACCGATGGATTTGATTCAGTCGAGGTCAGAACTTCTAAACAGTCCAAGGGGCCCGATGCAAAAATATACTTTTCTCTTACCATTTTCGTTTTTGTAGAACCATAATGGCTCCTTTACACGTTGATAGATTTCGTCAGTATTGGAACGTTATCACCACAGAAATCGTAATGGTTATCACCGTTGTCGAAATTAGTGACCAGTCATAAGCAGACAGCATCTTCGTTTCTATTTAAATCTTTGAAATAATTTTAAACGCTTTGTTTCACTGCACAATATTAACATATAATTATTTAGAAAGTAAATAAAAGCACTTTACAAAAATAGAAACTTCAGTGTTGATATCACTTTGGTCTTAACAAACAATGAAGTTAATATTATATTGAGTTGACTGTCTCTGATCTAGCGGTCACGACTGCTGATCATGTGGTTTTGGATTCTAATCCTGGGTTGGACCAAAATCAGTTATTGGGTTTTTCTGTCAAGAAATTATCAGTAATAGTTCGGGGACAGAAAGTCTGCGGTGTTTCAGACACGTGCCACGGAAAGCACGTAAAGCCGTTGCTCCTGCGCCCAACGCCCTCTTAGGCCATACCGAGGCCCTTGGGCACCCAAGAATTTGGGGCCCTGTTGGAAAGTAAAGAAAAGTGAATGACAAAAACATTTTTCTGCTACGATCTTATATTTACTATAGTTAATCGCTAAAAATCAAATAATATGTCATTAATGAGGACATCCACGACTTTTTCTGACACCAGGGCGGTGCCACTTTACAATGAGAATGTAAACTGTAATGTTTCTTTCCGTATCATTAGTTATATTTTATATTAATTAGATTAGAAATGAATAAACCAAACTATAAATATAACTAATAGTAGAAAAACTAAAAAAAAAGAGTTACAAAGTGCAAAAAATTAAAAATCAAACCTCAGACGCATTGTGTTGTGTATTAATTTCATACTCTAAATAATGATAAACTATTATATAAAACAATATATCGACCTTTCATAACCGGGGTCCCCGTAACAATAGGGGACCTGGGCATGGCCCCGTGGCCCTTATGGTAAAGACGGTACTGCCTGCGCCTGATTTTTGCCTATATTTGTTGTATAGAACTGCTGTCACATCGCATTATGAGAATGACGGAATAGAGAGAGCACCTGCGTGCCGCAAACACTCGTGTACTGTAACTATGTCCTGTCCAGATGGCTAGTTTCAGTAAAGACTGACACCCATGACAGAAATCCGGTCTGGAGGACATTATTATAGTAATATCAATTACTGTTTTTTTTAATGTAGCACAATGATTTAGAAGTTAAACAATAATAAAAATTCAAATTTAATGGTGGTCACTACACGATAAATTAATCGTCGAACTCCTAACTTTTGGCCGAACCTTATCAAATTCGTTCAAACCATAATTCAAGACTCAGTACATAGACTGATGACGAAAAATTAAAATCCTGACTGAAAATCAAGGTGAATATTATTCAGTATGCTGATAGACATGTTAATTTTTTTTGTAGCATTGAATGACAAACGAGCACACAGTCCACCTGATGGTAAGTGGATGCTGTCGTCCATAGATATCCCTATTTATCCTCAAATAAGAATCAAAACCCAAGATGGAATGCCTCGATTCCAGTAAAAAGGGTCTCCGGTTCTCTACACTCTATTTTAAGCTGGTATTCCGTGAGAACGTGGTTCTGCGCCGGTTGAGCCGACCCATTCGTGCTACAACTATAATACAGCTGTAGCGTGATTCTACCACGTACAAACTTTGTCACCTTCATAGCCGCTAAAGGTTTACGTTTTATATATTCCCCGTATAAGTTTAACTGGATATGTGAAATGACACATCTTGCGCGAATACCTTCATGACATTAGAAATAGTCAGAATCCGAATAGCCAGATTCATAGAGAATGAGGGATAAAAAATCATTTCGTATTCCAATTTATAATTCTTCTAAAATGTGTTAAAATTTACCATTGGCACGACGGTGTAGGAAAACTCTGACGTTAACAGAATCTCGAGGTAACCTATATGTTGGATGAATAAAAAAAATCGGACTAGCGGTAGTTTAGTCCCTCTCAGAAGTATAAGGGCGCATGTTCACAGCTGTGGGGCGTATAGGCTGACCGTTATTGCCGTTATTGGTTTTTTAAATGTTCATTATTATAACTAAAATAGCTTAGATTAAATTGTTCTACCACATTACGAATTTTTATTATAGTTAAATAAATTCTTATCAATAATATGATTAAATACTAATAAATCTTATGTATCTGTTTCTAACGTGATTTGCAGTTAGAGCGCTAATAAAATTGTCTCACTAACACTTAAGTTTTGATGCAGTATAAATAAATTATCATTTCATATTACGTTATATATTCTATTCTGTTGCTTTTTTTGTTTTTAACATGCTAGAGACAAGCTGCAGCAATATTATGGGTGTATCACAAATGGGTCGGTTCGATCGGGGAAGGATCACGCTCTCACAGAATACCAGCGTAAAATAGCAGCTTAATACCGCTGTGTTTCGTATGGTGAGTGTAGAGATCCGGAGGCCTGTTTTTACTGAAAACTAGGCTTAGCCCTCAGTGGTGACAACGCATCTGCGTCTTGATTCTTATTCGTGGATAAGTGTAGATGTCCATGGGCCACAGCATCCACTCATCATCAGGTGGGCTGTGTGCTCGTTTGTCACCCTTATCCTATAAAAAAAATTAATGGATGAACATGGTGAGATTATTTGTATGGCTTACAAATAATAGTTTCGTCTCCAGATGTTTGTCCTTGTAAAATTTATGTATGAATATGTAACTATATAAAAGGCTTCAGTACCATAGACCACATACATACCCTGCGGCAGATTGTACAGAAGACTGAAGAGTACAATTTGCCACTTTGCCTGGCGTATGTGGACTATGAGAAAGCCTATGATTCCGTCGAAAATTGGGGGGTGCTGCAGTCCCTTCAGCGGTGCCAAGTTGACTGTCGGTATATCGAAGTGCTGAAGTGTTTGTATAGTAGGGCTACGATGGCTATCCGAGTACAGAACCAGAGCTCGAAACCTATCCAACTGCAGAGAGGTGTAAGACAGGGTGACGTTATATCCCCGAAACTCTTCACCGCTGCTTTGGAAGACGTTTTCAAGCTACTGGACTGGAAAGGATACGGTATTAACATCAATGGCGAGTACATCACTCACCTTCGATTTGCCGACGATATAGTCCTTATGGCAGAATCGCTGGAGGACTTAAGCACTATGCTCAATGACCTCAATAGTGCCTCCCAACGGATAGGTCTTAAGATGAACATGGACAAAACAAAGATCATGTTTAATGTCCATGTCACACCTATGCCGGTAGTTGTT